ATTGACTTATATTGAGAATATTTTTTTCAACCTACATAAATTGTGATTTTAACAAACGAAAGGACACACAAACAGTTAGAGATTATCATAGCCAAATCAAAATCAAAAAAGTAGTGGAATATTTCATCCACTGAAAATATATCAAATCGAGCTATATATGTTACCCTTCATCACACTGTGGTACAGGGTATTATGTCTTTGTGCATATGTTTGTAATATGCAAAAGGAAACGAGATATATTGTAACAGATCAGTTTAAATTTGATATAACTCTCATTTCACAATATAACTTGTCCGATTCCACAAAAGTTCACCCAAGAGTAAATGTTTGTCCGCTTAAGAAAAAAATTTGCATAGCGTAGCGAATTAAGGTGAACCCACCCATTCTCGAAACATCCAAATCTAAAAGTTCCAACCCAATTAAAACAAGTGAAGAAAGCGTTAAATTCGGCCGGTCCGAACTTTGGATACCATCCACCATAGGTGTACTAACAGATACTTGCAACGAAAATATAGGGACCTATACCGATAATTCTACAAACCCATTTATGTACACCAAATACACATTTCAGTAATTTTTAATGCATACTTTTTTCCTAGAAACCCCAAATATTGGACCGATATTGACGACGCATGTTAGGGGGGAACATCCCCAAAATACTGCAATTTATAGGTTGCAGCTATATAAGATCATTATCAACGTACACAGCTTTTATTTCGGAAGCTGCTGGTTTAATATGAAAATTTTCATGGCAGAAAAAAATTTATATGAGTACCCTTATATGGGAGCTATGCCTAAACATGGACCGATATAGACCATCTTCGAACTTGACCTGCCTGCAGACAAAAGACGACCATATGTAAAATTTTGGCGATCTATCTGGTTTAGACGCTAGTGTGATTACAACAGACAGACGGACATGGCTATATCGTCATAGAATTTTACGCTAATCAAGAATATATATACTTTATAGGGTCGAAAATTATTATTTCGATGAGTTACAAGCGGAAAAAAACAATATATATACCCTCCATAATATGGTGGAGGGTATAACAAGTGAAAAAGGCGTTAAGTTCGGCCGGGCCGAACTTTGGATCCATTCACCATAGGAATACTGACAGTTACTTGAAATTAAAATATGGGGAACATGCCAAAAAGTGGACCTTATGGGTGGGTGTATTTATATGGTGTGTACTTATGTGGGGGTGGGTGTACTTATATGGGGGCTATCACAAAAAGTGAGCCTATTTTTATAATTTTTAGTGGGGAGTTTATGACCCAATAAGAACGCAATGTACCAAATTTCAGCGAAATCGGTTGAAAAACGCGCTCAAGAACCGCAAAATACCGAAAATTTTGGGGGTACCCTTATATGGGAGCTTTGCCTAAACATGGACCAATATGGCCATCTTCGAACTTGACCTGCCTGCAGACAAAAGACTCTTGACCTGCCTGCAGACAAAAGACTCTGTGCAAAATTTTTCTAAATCGTCATAGAATTTTACGCTGATCAAGAATATATACTTTATATATTCGGAAATGATTATTTCAAAGAGTTACAAACGGAAAAACAAAATTAATATACCCTCCATTCTATGGTGGAGGGTATAAAAAGGGGGTTATATTCGGACTAAAAAGGTCTGAATATTAATAATTTTTGGGAGAGAGAGAGATTTGTTACAAAAACGGCTACAAAAAATCTAATTACAAAGAATTTGGTTGAAAAACGCGTTCAAGAGCGCCAAAATTACGTAAATTTGGGGGCACTCTTATACGGGGGCTTACCGAAAAAATGGAGCTATATTTATAATTTTCAGAGGAGAGCTTTGCCACCCAATAAGAACTCAAATTTCTATATTAAAGCCAATTCGGTCGAAAAATGCGATCAAAACCCCAAAAATACTGAAAATTGAAGAGTACCGTTATATGTGGGGTATCAGAAAAATAGGACCGATATTTATACTCAAGAAAAACGCGCTATCCGAAAAAAACGAAGCTATATTTATAATTTTTTGTGGGAAGATTTGCTACCCAAGATGAACTCAAAGTACCAAATTTCAGCGAATTCGGTTGAATAGCGGGATCAAGAACGTCAAAATACTGAAAATTGGGGGGTACCCTTATATGGGAGCAATGCCTTAACGTGGACCGATATATCTTCGAACTTGACCTGCCTGCAGACAAAAGATGACTCTATGCAAAATTTTGGCGATCTATCTGAATTGTTGGTCTAAACCCAAGCTGGAAAATATAAAAAACTTCACCAATTGGATTTATGCTAGTTTATATGATAGCTATGCAGGACCAGAATAAAGTGTCGTATGATGCTGACATAATAAATTGAATCCGAGGATGGTTGTTAAGTTGAATGGAAATCTGTTCAGATTTAGATATAGCTCTCATATATATAGTTTTGTCCAATTGTATGTGAATGGTCCATCAAACAACCAAAACTTGTTCCATCGAAACGAAAATTTGCGTAACTATCGTAGAGAATTGAGTTTATAATGAAATGTGCTAATTTTTTGTTCAAATCAAATCGGTCTACAACATACTTTATAATTTACTAGCGGGCCCGGCAAACATTGTCTTGCCTTAACAATATTGTTAAGAAATAATTTTCAGTATTTCAGATTTGTTTTTCTTTTTGCTTTTTTTTTATTCATACTTGCATAAACAATTTTTCTGGGTAAGAGATATATTTCGCCATATACCGATTTTGATCGTTACATTGGAAGCTATAGCACACACGCAATAAATTTGAATAATGTCATAGCATACTGAACTGAGTCTAGGATTATGATGCACTAAGTTTCGTGAAAATCGGTTCAAATTTAGATATACTTGCCATATATAGTTTCGTCCGATTTTACTAAATGATGCACCAAAACCCCTATATATTTTTCGATTTAAATGAAATATGTCATAGCGTACTGAACTTAGTCTAGAATTATATGTGCTAAGTTTCGTGAAAATCGGTTAAGATTTGTATATAGCTGCTATAAAGACCCATAGTTTGTACGATTGACACAAAATTTTGTACAATGTACTGAAGTTAATATACATTAATTTCTGGCAAGTTACGTTGAAATCGTTTCATATTTAGATATAGCTCGACACGAAATTTTGCACTACGTATCAAATTGACTCTTGAATGACGTTATTACGTGTTGTTAAAATTAGCGCAGATGCTTCCATATATATTTCAAACGGGTGTCAGATTGAGATTAAATTTTGAAGAGTGGGGCCTACCGAATAGCGTGTATCAAGTTTGCTCTACATCGATTTACTTAAATTAGTCCCATTGTACTCAAACGACTCTAAACTTTCCCGAATGAAATGAAATTTAGCATAGGTTCCAGAAACGCATAAAGACCACCTATTCAAGTTCGTTCAATTTCATGAAAGTGTTCTTTCGAAAAGGTGACGTCTGTTAGGAGACATATGTAGAATATATCCAAAGTGGTGAAGGGTATCGTATAGTTGGCGCCGTCTGACTTTACTTCTTTCCTTTCTGGTTTTACCTTCTAATTGAATTCGTATTTCGCAGTAATTTTATATTTTGTTGAAAATGTACCTATCAATATTCACGAAAGCTTCCGAATAGACCCCATACAATGATACTCCACATTATTCGATGCGTTCGGAGGTTTGGCCAACGGTACCCGCAATATTCGGCATTTTGGGGAGCTTCTCTTAGCAAAAATTATCAATATTGGTCCAAGTTTTCAGATAGCCCCCATATATGTTATTCCCCTTTGTTCGGCATTTTCTCATGTGGTGTCAAATCTTCCTACCAAAATTTCACATTATAGTTGCTGCAATATGTCATTGACTGGATGGATATTAGAATTAGAATTCTCTGAATGGACACAATCTCGATTCCGAATGTCTTCTGATTTTCAATTCTTGCATTGCCCCAATAAATTCGTGAAACGTGTGCATACAATGATCGCGTGTACATTCAATGATATCCTTCTGAATTATTATTTTTTTTGTATTCTCACCTAAAATATTTTCAATACAATGACAATCCAATTGAAAAAAATAAAATATGTACATACTTTGAAAATTTAAAAAAAAAATGACAATGCTTCATAATATTTTTCGCGGTTTTCGATTATTTCTCACCTTTTAAACCTTCCCTGAAGCTCCACGAATATTTCAAGACTAAGATAAGAAAAATCCGTTCAGCCGTTCTCGAGTTTTAGCGAGACTAACGAACAGCAATTCATTTTTATATATGTATATAGATTCATATTCTTATTTTACAGAGGAATATCTATATCAATGTTTATGGTCAATATAATAAAGGGCGTAATTTTAAGATTTTTTCTTATGCCCAAAATTAAAACCTCGATAACTTTTGCATGCATCAACCAAAAATTTGATTGCGAACGGTTTCAGAGTCAGAACATTTTTCTCTATATGTGTACCAAAAATCATTGATGTGCCACAAAAACAAAAAGCTGACTAACATACTATAAGGAACCATATACACTATCTTCGATGATAAATATTCCCACTTTCATTACCGCGAAAATATTATCTGTTGTGCGTCCGGGTTTGTCATCAAAATATTTTCAACTCGAACGAACAAATATGTTTGCATGACTTTTAATTTATATGTTTAATATGTATGTTTAATTAATAGAATTGGAACATAACATAGGAATATTCATGAAGCCGATCTTTCTTGTTTATTCAAGTGCTGAGTACAGAGTTCAAAAATCATATATCATAAACAATTTTTAAAAATTGTGAAAATAATTAAAAATATACATAAAAATTATTGGGATTCTTAATTTAGAAAAAAAAAACAAAATATTAGTAATATTTAAGAATAAACATTCTGTCAGGCAAAAACAGCTGTTTCGGAAAAAACCCCCGCTCTCGTGTAAATTGTAACAAAGTAACTTCGTACAAAAACAAGGGCCTCAGACTCCAAAACTTTAGTTAAATTCAAGCAAGAACTAGCTCAACATAGTATTCGGAACAGCATGAGGTCGAGAACTATTCTAATATTATGTATTGCTATGCAATTGTTAAGTATTGCCCTGGCGAACTATTGTGCGGCAAATTTGTGTCCTAACGGCAAGAAACATATTGCCTGTAATAATAATGGGGTAAAAGGAATTTCTTCTACGTATTTTCAATTAAAATTAAACTGAGGTTTTCTACCTTTTCAGAAATTTGTTAAGACTTGTCCAAAAGATGCTGCCATGGTACAAATTGGATCCAAATTGAAAAACATCATAGTCAATGCTCACAACAACAAACGTAACATTATCGCTGGCGGCAAGGTGGCCAATTTTAAGCCAGCCTGTCGTATGGCCTCAATGAGATGGGATCCTCAATTGGCCAAAATCGCATCGTACAATGTACGACAGTGTAAAATGGCCCACGACAAATGTCGCAACACACCAAAGTATAGATTTTCGGGACAAAATTTATTCTGGAAATCATTCACGGGCAAACCGAATAAAGCTCAGCTAATGCAAGCAGCTGTCAATGCCTGGTATGCAGAATATAAAAATACTAAATGGGCGCAAATTCAATCGTATCCACCAAACTATAAGGGACCGTAAGTTTAAATAAAGGTTTTAAAAATTGGACGATTACTAATAACTTTGTTCGTATTTTTAGAGCCATTGGCCATTTTACCGCCATGATGGGTGAACGTAACATTGCCGTGGGTTGTGCTGCCTCCACCTACTCCACCAAAGGTGTTAAGTATAAAACGTTTTTAGTTGCCTGCAACTATGCCACAACCAATATGAATGATAAACCTATCTATAGAGATTGTGCAAGACCAGCTGTCCAATGTAAAGTCGGCGTTAACTCGAAATATAAAAATTTATGTGCACCCAAAGAGGCTTACAATGTCAATAAATGGTGATGTTAATGATTGTGTTAAAAATATAAAATCATATCGTTAGCATTTGGTTATTAAATCATATATTTGACAAAGATAAATGACTGATCCTTAGCTATAAAATGTAAATAGTTCACCAAAGTCCCCATATATCTTTCGATTTGCACGAAATTTTGTATAGCGCACTGAATTGAGTCTTGAATTACATATGTTATGTTTCGTGAAAATCGTCCTAGTCCGACTTACTACTTTTCTTACTGGTTATATCTACCGTCATACAGTAGAGTTTGCATTTTTATTGTAATCCTTTGCGGAGCAATATTATATTTGTATATGTTAACTAGCAAAGTACCCATAGTATGAATAAAAAAATATTATTTCATATGGAAATCGTGAATACTGTATAATTTGTTGTACTATAGTTCTGAATTCCACCTCTATTCCTACATTTAATATCAAGTTTATTACCATTAAGGGGACCCCCCCATTCTCGGAGTCATGTTTTTTTTATTTAATTCGGTTCTACACTAATTCAAGAATGTCTCTACAAAATTTCGAGTGAAAATCTCAAGAACTCTTGAAGATATAGCCGATTTATTGTGTCAGCATCAAGTGACTGCTAAAGGGCTTCTCAAACTTTAAACGTGTTTCTCTCTTTTGCGAATGGCGGGCACGATAACTCAAAAACTAATAATCCAATCGATTTCAAATTTTTACATGTTTCTCTGTGAGTGTATAGCTATCTTATGAACTAGGATAAAGCCAATCGGCGAAGATCTTTCTTATTTTTTAACTTGGTTTTTGGTCAAAATTCGGCGATTTTTCAAAAATATTTTTTCAACGGTCCGCCGTTCATACGAGAGCCAGACATGTACTCTTTCTTACAACGTTGGAATTTTCGGATTCCGATGATCCAATGAGGAGTTATCATGCCCGCCATCAAAAATAAGGACGTTTCTTTAATTACAAAAAACAACAACAAAGCAATAACAAACATTTTTTGTAAATTATTTTCTTCTTTTTTAAATCTTCAAATATATATGTGCAAAGTTACAAACCTTAACAAGCATTGGTATTGATTTAGCAGCCCATTGAAAATCTTGAAAAATTAAAATCGAGAATGGGTGGGGTTCCCTTAAGTACCCTTCATACACATATGCACTATTTTCCGAAATCTCTTTCTAATTTCCATTACACACTTTAACAAATCCTGTACGTATTTGCCACATTTAGTTCCATTTAGAACATTTCGAACACATAAATATAAATTTTCAAGACTACCTCTATACGATCACCACCACTAAATTTGGTACCAAAAACCCTTTGGCAATTCTTTCTAACTCTCTGTCAGTGACCAACGTTCTAAATTTTAGATTTCCAACTCTCTCGTTACCCAAATTCAAATTGTTCAAAATTTAGTGAATTTTCTATTCTATTTACTATTGGTACACAAAACTCCGAGCCTACATAGCTCAATACTACACTTCAATTTTAATCTTAATTTCAAATCTCAGAATTCAACCAAATCCAAATTGTTTCAAATTTAGTACCATTTAGTAATTTTCATACTCATAAATAAGAATTTCTAAAACTACATCAATCCTACACTCTAAAAGTAACCCTACTTACACCAAAGTCCAAATTGTACAAAAATTTAGTACTTTTCGTACTCACAAGTACAAATTTCCAAATGTTCTTCAATCCTTCTTTCAAATAGTCCAAATTTGAGAATTCCAGCTCTGTCTGTTCATTAAAAACCAAATTATACCAGATTTGGTACCATTCTGTACTTTTCGTACCCATATAGCAAACCAAAATCAATATTCCAAACCTGCTTTCAATCGTAAGTCCAAATTTAGGAATGTCAGCTCTATATGTTCACTAAATTGTACCATATTTGGTACCATTCTGTACTTTTCCTACACTCCCAGAGTAACCTATGTTTAAACGTTGAGGATTCGAGTTCTACCCGTTCACCAAAGTCCAAATTGTACTAAATTTTGTGCTTGTCGTACCCAAAGTACGAATTTCCAAAAATACCTCAGTCATACACTCCAATAATAACCTTAAATCAACATTTAAAGATTCCAGCTCTATCCGTTCACCAACAAATTTAGTACCATTTATTACTTTTCGTAGGCGGAAGTAGGAGTTTCTAAAACTGCCTCAATTCCACACTGAAACAGCAATTTTAATCATAAATTTCAGGATAACAGCCCTATCCGTTCACATAGATCCAAATTGCACCATAGTCAGTACCATTTAGTACTTTTCGTACTTATGAGTTCGAATTTCCAACACAGTCTCAATCCTTTGCTATAAGAGTAATTTTATTTTCAAATCCATCCATCTATATCTTTTCACTCAAATCTAAATTGTACTAAACTTAGTACCATTTAGTACATATTATTACGCATTTTTAAAACTACCTCCATGTCTCATCCTACACTCCAACCTTATTTGTAAGTCCAAATTTTAGGAATCTCGCTCACACAAAACGAATTGTACCATATTTAGTACCATTTAGTGCTTCTCGTATTTATAAGTTCTAAATACCAATACTTCCTTAATTCTGTAATGTTCATTCCAAATTTACGTTAACTCTAATCAAAACTGGAGCTTTATCCGTTCACAAGTACACATAAGTACTATGCTTCCATATCTCAATTTTATATTCCAACATCAACCATTAGGCCAAATTTTAGGTTTCCAGCTCTCTCCGTTCACCCAAATCAAAATTGTACCAAATCTAGTGTAGTTTAGTACTTTTCGTACACATACGACTTACCAAACATGTCGCTATAGCTCAATCTTCAGCAGAAATCTCAATTCCAAATTTCAAGTTTTCAGTTCTATCCTTCCAAGCAAAACCCAAATTGTACTAAATTGAGTACCATATAGTACCTTTCGTACCAATAAGTACGAATTTCATAATCAGTCCTACACTCCAACAGACAATTTAATTCCCAATTTGAAAACTCCAGCTCTATATATTCACCTAAATTCAACATGCACCAAAGTTATTACCATTTAGTACTTTTCGTACACATAAGTACGATTTTTTAAAACTACCTTAATCCTGTACTGCAATAGTAGTCCTAATTCCGATTTTCACTTTTAGGTCGAATTTCCAAAAATCCTTTTGTACATCTTTCTAACTTTCCATCAGAGAACCACATGCCAAATTTCAGAATTCTAGCTCTTCCCGTTCGCCTAATACACAGGGTACCATATTTGGTACATTTTAGTACTTTATGTACCCTTCTAGTTCGAATTTCCAAAAACCTAACCCTATCTCACGCCTACACACCAACAGCAACCCTCACTCCAAATTTCAAGCTTCTAGTTTTAGCCGTTTCGTCTGGGCGATGATCTGTCAGTCACTCAACACTAAGCTCTTTTATATATATAGATAGTATCAAAACTAGTTCAACCTTCTATCATATTCCACTTAAAGGTTACGGTTATACTGGATAGAAATTCATGTCAAAAATAGTACTAAGTGTGAGATTTCATAAAATAAAAAGCTTATATATTAACCCCGGAATGTCGTGAGAAAATGGTGATTGAAATTCGCAAAATACAGTTGTGTTCATAAAAATAGTAATGCAGTTGATCATGTTACAAATGCCATTCAAACAACCAAATACGTACATGTAGTCATTGGTAGAATTTATTTTTATACTTTTTTATTATAGAATGGAATCTGAAGATCAAGAAAGTGAACAAAGTCCCGAGAGGTTTGCTGTCGTATTCTTGAATTTCTCTAGTTTGGTGAAATTTATGAAAATAATTAATTAATAATTATAATTAATTAATTAATGAACAGTAAATTAATATAGTAATGGTCGAAGTGAATGTTAATAAAACAAATAAATAAAGCAAAAACATAACAAAACTAAGTGTTTTATAAACAAACACTCTATTGTCGTTATATATTTTAATTAATTTCCTTAATGGTATTAATTTTTATTGGTAAGTGGAAAACCTTGCACGTCTGCGACAATAGGGTTTAAAGCTGAAAAATGAAGGAAAAGGTACAAAGAAATATAAAATATCATTGGATACAGTGCCTCAAGAATATTCAAGGCAATAACAACTAAGAAAAAGCTTGAAAAACGTAGCCATAGACGTAGTACTACAAATTTGGGGGATAGGTGCCTACTACGGTGCAGTAGGGTGAACCCTTCAGCGGCCTCTCAAATGATAAAAACTAATTTAAATCTACAAATCATTGATGTGACTGTACGCCGGAGATTGGTCGAAAACAATGTATATGCCACTAGTCCTAGAAAGGTTCGCCCACTTGATAAGGAAGCATGCCAACGCTATGTTGAGTTTTGCAAAATCTCATTAAGGCTAGCCTCTAGAGAAGTGGCTTAACATATTATGGACAAATGAAACAAAAATTTTCTTATATGGAAGAACAGGTTTTATACAGTATGTTCTAGTTCCCCCCAAACATGGAATACCTACTTTAATACACACTCAAAACTGTAAAGCATACAGGATTGAGTGTTATGGTTTGGGTCTGTTTTTATACCCTACACAACTATGTTGTCAGGGTATTATAGCTTTGTGCAGCCCCAAAAGTTTGTAACGCCGCGAAATATTGGTCCTAGACCCACCTTTAAGTATACCGATCGTCATATCTCGACTAGCTGAGTCGATCTAGACATGTGTGTCCGTCCATCCGTCCGTCTGTCCATTATGATTTGTAAACACGATACAGGCCACAGTTATGGACCAATCTTCACGAAATTTTGCATGTAGAATGGGTTCTGGCCAATGAAGACCCCTATTGTTTTTGATAAAGATCGGTTAATATTTAGGGGATGAAATGGACCAAATACTAAATTTTTGTCGGTTTTTCTGGTCGCTCCAGAGGCCGCAATTACGGTGCGAACATCGTGAAATTTTACATGGAGAAGGGGATCGGGGCTAAGAATAAGCATACCTGTTTTGATAAAGATCGGTCAATATTTAGCGGGTCAAATGGACCCTGACTTTTGTGTGAAAAATTGCAAAATTTTTATTCTGGGACGTATATACTTGCTCCTGAATGACATATATTCGAGATGTTGATAGTATGTCCAAGATGAGTTGTTGACCTTCAAATTGATACCAATTATATGGCTGTATGTACTCCGATGCGGGAGTTATACGTAATTAAGTAAAGGTGACTATGTGCATATTATTACTATTACTCCATTAGAGGACGGAAATGTCTCGCTGATCGCTTTGAAATTGTACATGAAGTTCCGATTATGGTCAAGGACGACGCTTATAGTTTTCGGTGAAGTTGAGATTTCATTCAGGAGGTGCAATGAACCGAAAACTTTAATTTTGTCTGATTTTCTAGTCGCTTTAGAGCCAATTATTATATACAGAACATCATATATTTTACAAGGTGAAGGGGATCTGACCAAATACTTAGAGCGGCTTTTTAGATGATGATCGGTCAATTTTCGGAGGGTCAAATCAACCAAAACCTAAAGTGACCAATTTTTTATTCTATGGCGTAAAAATTCTCTCCATGAAAAAAACATTTTGGAAAATATGCAAGGCTTAGAAATAGGAGTTGTTGATCTATAATCTGTAAAAAGGGTGCAAATATCACGAAATATTGCCCAGGCTCAGAATATAGAACCGCCGAAAGTGTGATTTTCGTGGTAGTTGTGTAGAGTATCATATGGTCGGCCCCGTCCGACTATACTGCTCCGCTCACTGGTTCATATTATGGCGTATTTTTTCCGGAATAAATGTGTTGGAGATAATAAAAATAAATTAAACTATTTACTTGCGTGATTTATTTAGAAAAAATGAGTGTTTTTAAATATATTTACACAGTACTAACAACCCAACTGCACTACCATTTTAATGAACACAGCTGTATATATAGTGGGTTTACCGTTAGATGGAGCTATAATAAAACTGAAATCAATATTGATATCTTTAGTTAGTGAGATTTGACAACCAATGAGAATACAAAATATGAAATTGACTGTAATTTCGTATTTTATATTTTCATTGGTTGGAAAACATGTCAAAAATCCCCATGTTGGGGAGTACATGGGGCTACCTTGAAGCTTTTTGGTACGGAGATGTGCTAAACAATTCAGTTAAGACAGCTTGCCGTATGGTCTCACGACAAATGTCGCAATACGCAAAAATTTAAATTTTCTGTACAAAATTTAGCCTGGAGATCGTTTAGGGAAACGCCGAATAAACAGGAACTCATAAAAGCAGCTATTAATGCTTGGTATTCGGAATTTCAAAAAGCAAAATGGCAACACATATAATGTCAAATCAGCAAACTACAAGGCGTCGTAAGTATATCGAACCAGTGAGCGGAGCAGTATAGTCGGACGGGCCGACCATATGATACCCTACGAAATATTGGGCAATATTTCGTGATATTTGCATCCTCTTGCCCGATTAGAGGTAAACAGCAACTCTTCATCACACTGACATATTTTCCGAATATTACGAGTATTCAGTACAGCTATTGTCCAAATTCCCTTCACCGTGGGTTGTGTTGTGATGTTCGGCTTTCATTTGTGGTCTATAGATCGACTCGAAAATAACACAAAAAATTAAGTTTTCGGTCCACTTCATTCCAAAATTATTATCTGATCATCACCGAAAATTATATGCGTTGTCCTTAACCATACCTCGAACCTCTTGGAACATTTCAAAGCGATCAGCGCTATAGTTTCGCCATACCGTGACCATACCTTGAACCTCTTGGAACATTTCAAAGCGATCAGCGCTATAGTTCCGCTCTCTAGAGTGATAATGGGTTACTAAATAATATACGCATACGGAGATACCTTTAAATATTTAGGTGTAACTCCCACATCCGAGCACATACAACAATATAATTGGTCTTAATTTAAAGGTCAACCACTCCTCTTGGATATAATATCAACTTCTCGGGCCTGTGTCCTTCAGTGGTAAATATATATGCTATAGAATACAATTTTCGCAATTTTTTACACAAAAGTATGGGTCAATTTGACCCGCTAAATATTGACCGATCTTTATCAAAACAGGCATGCTTATTCTTTAGCCCGATCCCCTTCTCCATGCAAAATTTCACGATGTTCGGGTCATTATTGCGGCCTCTGGAGCGACCAGAAAAACTAAATATTTGATTTGATTGAACAAGCCACCTTGAGCAAAAATTGTAATCAGCTGGTAGCTGTTATTATTATTATACCATGCCTTGTATCATATTCCACATAAAGGTTACGGTTATACTGGATAGAAATTCATGTCAAAAATAGTACTAAGTGTGAGATTTCATAAAATAAAAAGCTTATATATTTATCCCGGAAAATCGTGAGAAAAAGGTGATTGAAATTCTCAAAATACAGTTGTGTTCGTAAAAATAGTAATGCAGTTGATCAATATACAAATGCCATTCAAACAACCAAATACGTACATATAGTCATTGATAGTGTTCCGGCAAGTGGAACACTACGAATTTCGTTGTGCTCCGGAACAGTAACACTAAAATATTTTTTAATGTTTGTGTACCGGAACACTAACGCTAAAATTAGTTTAGTGTTTATGTTCCTGGTACGGTGCACTACGATAGTGTGCCGTTTTTTTGCAAACACTGGTAGTCACATCGCAACGAATGCACACAACGATGTTGTTAATGTTTCAATAAAATACAGATCTGAAGCAGTTATCTATCCTGACGCTAGCCAAACTGGTATATTGTTTCATTTCTCTGTCGAAACTTCTTGCATGTGGTATTAAAAATAGTTTTATGAAATTAATTTCCGCATAAGAACTTGGAAATAAATACACACCCACGACATTACTTCGATCGTATATATTAACCTCAACTCCATCGATCGATCTACTACCGTAGCAGTGTTGGAATTTAATATTTATTATTTCCAATATAATGAAAATATATTTCTTGTTCATATTCGCTATTGCGAAATTGTCAGGCTTGATAGCGGCTGACTATTGTGACGCCTCATTGTGTCCTGCTGGTATTAAACATGTTGTTTGCCACAACGCTGGGGTAAGGATATCAAACATACAAAAAAAATATTTTTTCAGAACTTCGATCTGACCTGTTCCAAAGATGCTGCCATGGTACCAATTGGCCAAATTTATAGGCTCTTTACAACATATTTCAGTCAGCAAAATCTGCTGAAAGTTTTACACGTGTTTTAGCTTTTCTTAATTCTAGCTTTCCCCTTAAAGCTGTGTATACAAGTGCGGAATATTGTCAACCTTGGGCTTACTTTTCAAAAATATATGTTTTCATTCATAAATACATATATTATTTGACATTTAAATAAAAAACAAACTTAAAATAGTTTTACGAAATTAACTTCCGGATGAGGAATTGCAAATAAATAATTAAAAACTTCGTCATAAACGATCGTATATTCAATCAAGCTCCGAGTAAGGTCTAGAACAGTACTAGTGGGGATTTAATACATATTTGCAATATAATGAAAATATATTTTCTATACATATTCGCTATTGCGAAATTGTTAAGCTTGGCAGCGGCTAACTATTGTGATGCATCATTGTGTCCGGCAGGTGTGCAACATGTCGCCTGTAATCACACTGGGGTAAGCCACCTCAAACACTTATTTTATACAATAATTATAATGAAAACGCCGACTTTTTCAGAATTTCGATTCAACCTGTCCCAAGGATGCTGCCATGGTACAAATCGGACAAACATTGCAAAACGTTATTGTCAATGCTCACAATAACAAACGTAATTTTATTGCTGGCGGCAAAGTGGCCAAATTTAAGCCCGCCTGTCGTATGGCCACAATGCGATGGGCTCCTGAATTAGCTAAAGTAGCATCGTACAATGTACGCCAGTGTAAAATGTCTCATGACAAATGTCGCAATACACAAAAATATAAATTTTCTGGACAAAATTTAGCCTGGAGATCGTTTACGGGAACACCGAATAAACAAGAACTCGTAAAAGCAGCCATTAATGCTTGGTATTCGGAAGTTAAAAACACCCAATGGCAACAAATTCAGTCATATCCTGCAACCTACAAGGGACCGTAAGTATATCTACGAATCATTTTTCCACAGTTTTCAATAATTCTTTGTATATTTAGAGCAATTGGTCATTTTACAGCCATGATGGGTGAACGGAACATTGCCGTGGGCTGTGCTGCCTCCACCTATTCTACCAAGGGTGTTAAATATAAGACATTTTTAATTGCTTGCAATTATGCCACAACCAATATGATTAATAAGCCCATTTATAGAGGTTGTGCAAAACCTGCTGCCCAATGTAAAGCTGGCAAAAATTCGAAATTTCCAAATTTATGCGCTCCCAAAGAAGCTTACAATGTTAATAAATGGTAACATCGCTGACTATGTATTAATTAAACTTTTTATGTAAAAAAAATAAAAAAATAATAATTTTCCTTTCCCAAAAGAAGAGAAATTGTGATTCTAGACCATAGAAGGTCTTAGGGTATTCATTCCATAAAAGTTTCACATATAATATAATCCTTTTAGATCTTTTGCATAAAATGGAAGACATGGGATCTTCCACATACTAAGATCATTTATTGATTCATCAGATCTGCAATAGGCAAAATACGTTATATATATTCTAAAGTCAATGGTCCTGAGTCCTGAGATGTTATACAAAAATATTAGCTCTTTATATATTTTCTATTGACAATGGAAGCCCTTCAGGTTTCTACATACCAATATCATCTATTGACAATAGAAGTCCTTCAGGCCTGCTATAGACAAAAGAAGCCCAATAGATATTCTATAGGCAATAGAAACCCCTCAGGTGTTATACAGAAAATAGAAACGAGTTAGGTATTTTATTGATAACTAGCATACGCCCGCAACTTCTTTACCGAATGTAGGAAATATTTAATAATGTATTAACATATTATTTTAGTTTTAGATGAAACTGCATATGTCTAAAAAAATAATCCACACATTAATATCGACCAAAAATTAATTTGAGTACCATTTAGTACCAAATTTCATGATTCGAGCTCTAAAGCTTTACCCAAATCCAAATTTTAACAAATTTTCATTTAGCACACATTATTTCCATAAGTACCCTCCAGTGCCAAAATTCACCCACCCACTATTGGTTCACCCATAATTCAAATTTTACCAAATTTAGTACATAGTTGTACAAATTTCTAAAACTTCCTACATACCCCAATCCTGCACCCCCAAAGTGATCCTAAATCGAAATTTGAGGATTCCAACTCTATACGTTTACCCACAATTCAAATTGTACCAAATTTAGTACACAGTAGTACCAATTTCCAAAACTTCCTACATACCCCAATCCTACACCCCAACAATGATACTAAATTCAAGTTTTAGGATTCCAAGTCTATCGGATCACCCGCAATTCAAATTGTACTAAATTTAGTACACATTAGTACAAATTTCTAAAACTTCCTACATATCTCAATCTTACACCTCATCAGTGATCCTGGCTCCAAATTTCATGATTCTAGCTCTATTGGTTCACCTAAAATACAAATTGTACCAAATTTAGTACCATTTAGTACCCATAAGTATTATTTGATTCTAGCTCTATTGGTTCACCTAAAATTCAAATTGTACCAAATTTAGTACCATTTAGTACCCATAAGTCTTATTTTCGTAAACTGAATCCTGACCCTAATCCCACACCCCTACAGTGATCCTGACTCCAAATTTCATTGTTCCCGCTCTATAGGATCACGCAAATCCAAACTGTACCGATTATAGTACGATTTAGTACTTTTCGTACACATAAATAACAAATTTCCAAAACTACGTTCATATCCCAATCCTACACTCCGACGGTAATTTTAATTTCAAATTCCAGGATTCCAGTTCGATTTGTACCTCCAAATCAAATTTGCACCAAATATAGTACTATATAGTACTTTTCGTACACATGAGTACACGCTTTCCAAACTCTCCTCATATCGACCCTAATTCTCAACCTTAATTTGCATTCCAAATTTCAAGTATTTAGCTTAATCCATTCACTTGCTACGAAATTGTACCAAATTTAGTACATTTCAGTACTTTTCCGATACTTATAATTCGAATTTCCTTTGCTACATCTATTCTACACTCCATCAGTGGCCCTCAATCCAAATTTCAAGCTCTACTGGTTCGCCAAATACAAATGATACCATATTTAGTACTTTTCGCACGGTTCTAGTACGAATTTCCAGAAACCCAGCCTTATCTGTCACCTTTGGACCAAGAGTGACACTCACCCAAAATTTCAAGATTCTAGCTTCAGCCGTTTCGTCTGGGCGTTGATGAATCGTTAAATCAGTCTGTCAGTCAATCACTTTATTCTTTTATTAGTATAGATTAAATTTGTACCAAATATAGTACCACATGAGTAAGCGTATTCAAAACCATCTCCTTAAATGGACCCTACATCTCAACCTTAATTAATACTCCAAATTTCAAGTTTTTAAAGCTATCCGTTTACATGCTACAGAATTGTACCAAATTAAGTACATTTTCGTACTTTTCGGATAGTTATAGTTCGAATTTCCAAAAACCCTTTGGTACATCTATGTTACACTCCATCAACGACCACCAAACCAATTTTCAGATTTGTAGCTCCACCGGTTCGCCAAATACAAATGGTATGACATTTAGTACTTTTTAGTACTTTTCGTACCGTTCTAGTACAAATTTCCAAAAACCCAGCCCTATTTGTCACCTTTGGACCAAGGGTGACCCTCACTTAAAATTTCAAGATTCTAGCTTCAGCCGTTTCGTCTGGGCGTTGATGAATTGTTAAATCAGTCAGTCAGTCAATCACTTTACTCTTTTATTAGTATAGATAGAAGCCGTTCAGGTAGTCTATAGAACCTCTTCGGGATCTCTATAACAATATAAGACTTGGCAAGACTTCAATATCTTTTATTGAAAATAGAGGTGTTCTAAAGGCAGGTCTCTTTCATACAAAAGAGGAATTTCAGGAATTTCTTCATTCCAAGGTTTAGTATTGCAATAGAAGTCCTTTATTCCAAAGACTGTGCAAGTGTTCTGCAGACAATAGATGTCCGACCTTCAACTCTTTTATTGACAACACAAGCCATTCACATCTTCCATAGAACCCTTGCCGGTTCTTTCAGGGTTCTATAGGCAATAGAAAACCTTCCGGTTTTATAAGTTTTTACATATTCTAATAAAATCATTCCTTCAGGTATTCTGCAGACAATAGAAGCCCTTCAGTAGGCCTATTCTGTAACTTTTTAACAACATTTGGCATTGTTTATTTTATGTACAACAATGTCATTTGTTTGTTTTGTTGTTTTTACAACAATAAAAGTAAATTAAACATGATCGAATGTGGTTAAAATTTACAGAATAGCCCTACAGGTCCTTTATTGACAACACAAGTCTTCTGTAGAGCCCTTACAGGTTATCTATAGACAATGTAGGACTTTAAGGCCTTTTAAAGGCTATAGAAGCCCTTCAGGTGTTATTAGCTTTTCACATCTTCTAATCAAATAACCCCTTCAAGACTACTTAAATCCTTCTATGGGTAGTAGGCGGTCTTTAGAGAACTTCCGCAGCTTAGTGTGTAGCAAAACCCATTCCTAGGAAACAGAACAGAACCTTCAGCCATTTTATTGTAGAGGCTCTTCAGGTCTGCTATACGCAATAGAAGCTCTTTTGATCATCAAGTATGCTGTAGAAAAAATGAGCAATTTAAAGCTTCTTAAGGTTCTCTATAAGTAGTAGGTCTTCTGTAGGCAATAACAACCCTTCTGTATGCAGTAAACGAACTTCCGGACTTCTCTAGGCAATATAAGTACGTCTATCTGGTATAGACAAAACAAAAAGTCTCTTTAGGTCTTCAATGGACAATGGAAGACCCTAGCGCCTTTTGCAGACAACTGAAGTCCCCAGTTTTTCTAACGACAACAGAGGCTCTTCAGGTCTTCCGTGAGCACCAAAAAAATCTTTCAGGTATAACCTGCTATTGGCAATCAAAGCCCAGTCTTTACAGTCTTCAGGATTTTCAAAAAATCCATCAGGCTTCTCTACAAATCCCCTATTTGAAAGTTTTCCAATAACAAATTTCTTCATATCGATATTCTTGGGGAATTAGAAATTTTATCACCAAAGAATATGATGCACACCCCCGACACCCTTCGCTTAAATTTATCTGCTTAGTGGCAATCATAAGTGAATGTGCAACGTGTTTCCATTGAAAATTAATGTTATTTGGTACGTTTGTGGTTAGTCTTTACGAAATATTTCTGTGCATATCGGGCCCGTCCGATATACTACTCTACACAACTACCACTGAGCTTTAAGTTTTTGTGGATCTATATTCCGAGCCTGGGTAATATTTCGCTCTCGATATTTGCACTCTCTTGACCGATTAGAGGTCCTTTCGAATCGCCTTTCCTGCGGAAAATTTGTGAAGTTCGGCTGATAATTATTTCCACTAGACAGTCTAGAAAACCTGAAGACCTCTGGAGCAACCAGAAAAAGAGACAAAAACCAGTAAGGAAAGTAGTAAAGTCGGACGGGGCCGACTATATGATACCCTTCACCACTTTGGGTATATTCTACAGATGGAATCCTAACAACCTTTAACATGTCATTCTGAAACCTATACTAAATTTTGGTCAGATATAGAATTGCTTTTTACAATGGGACAAAATTATGTAAATTTAAATCAAAATATCGAAATCTAAACCGATTTCATCCAAACTTGTCACATGTTAGGTTACACTTGTTTCAGTATGTTTTTTACATTCGCCACATTTTGAGTTCTTCATTAACTTATAAATCCAAAATTCGTGCAAATCGAAGGATACAAATAAAATCGGACGAAAATATATATGAGAGCTATATCTAAATCTGAACCGATTTTTACGAAATTTAAAACACATCTTTCTAAAAATAATTTAGTACGCTATGCTAAATTTCGTGCTAATCGAAGGATATAAAGGGACTTTGGTGCACTATTTACCTAAAATCGGACGAAAATATTTATGGGAGCTATATCTAAATCTGAACCGTTTTTCACGAAATTTTACACACATCGTTCTAGACTTAATTCAGTACGCTATGCCAAATTTCGTGCAAATCGAAGGATATATAGGGACTTTGGTGCATCATGTACAAAAAATCGGACGAAAATATATATGGGAGCTATATCTAAATCTGAACCGATTTTTCCCAATTTGAATAGGGTTCGTCCTTGGACCAAATAAGTGAACTGTGCCAAATTTCATCCAAATCGGATGACAAATGCGACCTGTACTTTGTTAACAAAAATACATGGACGGACGGACAGACAGACGGACATGCATAAATCGATTTAAAAAGTTATTCTATGCATATGATCAAAAGGAACTATGTGTCTATCTCGTACCCTTTTGTCTGTTACAAACATATGCACAAAGACATAATACCCATAATACCTGTACCACAGTGTGGTAAAGGGTATAAGAAGAATTTGGTTCAAGAACCCCAAAATACCGAAAATTGGGGGTACCCTTATATGGGGGCTATCCGAAAAAATGGACCTTTATTTATAATTTTCGGTAGGGAGATTTGTACCAAATTCAGCGAATTCAGTTAAAAAACGCGCTCAAGAACCTCAAAATACCGAAAATTTGGGGGTACCCTTATATGGGAGCTATTCCTAAACGGGGACCGATTTTCTCCAATTTCAATAGGGTTCGTCCTTGGGCCAATTAAATTGTTAACAAAAATACATGGACGGACAGACGGACATGCATAAATCGACTCAGAAAGTGATTCTTGACAACATAGTTGTGTAGGGTACAAATATGATCCTTAAGGATACATGTGGTTGCCATTCATTTTTGTTGGACCAATTTGTTGTTTTCGACAATGATCATCTTAAGTGTGTCCCACTGTTATTTATGTTTATTTCAAATAACATTTATACGAAATAGGCCAATTGTCCATATTGACACACAGAAGATTGTTTTTGTTTATTCAAGTGCCGAATATCATACGCAAAACGTGATAAATATCGCAACAACACATTACCAAAATTTAGATTATTTTGGAACTTCTTAAAACTACGATTCAAGCGTATTAGAAAGTGTATTTGAAAAATATTTGAGCGCAAATATTATTTTTCACTTCTATGCAAATATAGTTGTGCCGGAAATACAAAAAATTGGAACTGTATACAAAACCGAGTACAAAAAATATCAATCTTTAATTCATTTTAAACTAAGGTTCAGCACACAAGACTAGACGGATTTCGATACTTGAAAAACAAACACGAAATAAATTATGAAAATATATTTTCTAATAACATTAGCTATTGCCGAATGTTTAAGCTTGGCAGCAGCTAACTATTGTGCTTCAACATTGTGTCCGGCAGGAGTTCAACATGTCGCCTGTAATCACACTGGGGTATGGACTAAAATCTAAATCGACAATTTAACATAAACTATAAAGAAAGTATCAATTTTTTTCAGAAATTCGATTCAACGTGTCCCAAGGATGCAGCTATGGTTCAAATCGGACAAACACTGCAAAACATAATTGTCAACGTTCACAATAACAAACGTAATTTTATTGCCGGTGGCAAGGTAGCCAAATTTAAGCCCGCCTGTCGTATGGCCACAATGAGATGGAATCCTGAATTGTCTAAAATAGCATCGTACAATGTCCGGCAGTGTAAAATGTCTCACGATAAATGTCGCAATACGCAAAAATTTAAATTTTCAGGACAAAATTTAGCCTGGAGATCTTTTACGGGAACACCGAATTTTCAAGAATTGACAAGGGCTTCTATTAATGCATGGTATTCCGAATTTAAGGATACCAAATGGGAACATCTTCAGTCATATCCATCGAATTATAATGGACCGTAAGTAAACATCGACGTTCGTAGTTTCGAAGCAAAGAGAATAAATTACTTTTTTTTCTACTTAGCGCCATTGGCCATTTTACCGCTTTAATGGGTGAACGTAACATTGCCGTGGGCTGTGCCGCCTCTACATATTCCACCCCGGGAGTTTCGTATAAGACATTTTTAATTGCCTGCAATTATGCAACAACAAATATGATAAATAATCCCATTTATAATGGTTGTGCTAAACCAGCTGCTAAATGTACAACCGGTAAAAATGCGAAATTTCCCAATTTATGCTCCCTCAAAGAGGTTTACAATGTCAACAATTGGCGTCCATCATAAGCGATGGAAATAGAAGAGGAAATATATTCAAATTTATTTTGAAAATAAAAACTTGAGATTCATAAAATGTGTTTGGATATTTGTATAAAAGATGCGGGAAAGGTACATGCGTTAGTGTTCCGGTCCTTTTGTCCGAAGATGCGATTGAACTTTTCTTCTTCGAAAATACCCTTCGCCACACTGTAACATGCAAAAAGGACGAACCCTAAACCCTAAGATTCCTGAAAATCGGTTCAGATTTAGATATAGCTCCCATATATATTTTCGTCCGATTTAATGTAAATGGTGCACCAAAGTCCCTTAAAATCTTTCGATTAGCACGAAATTTGGCACAGCGTAATGAGTTAGTTCTAGAATGATGTGTGTTATGTTTCGTGAAAATCGGTTCAGATTTAGATATAGCTCCCATATATATTTTCGTCCGGTTTAAGGTAAATGTTGTACCAAAGTCCCCTAATATCTTTCGGTTTGCACGAAATTTGGCACAGCGTAATGAATTGCAGAATGACATGTTTATGGATCCAATTTCATTTCACTGGTCCTTTAAAAATGCGACGTCAGTTAGGATTCATCTGTTGAATATACCCAATGTGGTGAAGGGTATCATATAGTCGGCTCCGTCCGACTTTACTACTTTCCCTACTGGTTGAACATAATCTAGGTAAGGTAAACATATTACGATGTGAAAATTTCGATGAAATTTGATATTCATATGCATCTTCAGACATAATGTAGGTAAGGTAAACATATAACGATGTTCAATGCTTCGATGATATTGGATATTTATTTTCAAAATGTTGACCCTTTATGGAGAAAGTACTAGAAGGAGTGGACCGATAAGTCCCTTCTTACAACTTTATACAGACATGGTTGAAACGTTATGTTGTGCGAAGTTTATTTCAAATCAGATAGTCCGTCCGCATGATGTTATAAAATTAATTTTCAGAAAAATTTTGATCATTTTGTTAAGGATGCACCAGATTCAAGTTTGAAAGAAATATTAGGATGAGCAAATTTTGATTGAAAACTGTTACTCCCTTCAGCAGATATCGTATATCGAGTCCAAATTGTCTGAAATGAATTTGGTTCAAGTAAACATGGGATCTAAAGCCCTATGAGGCATATATTTACCGTATCAAAGGACGCTAAATAGGTCTATGTCAAAACATGGGTCCTAAGATTTTTACAGACGCTCAAAATAATAAAAATGTGGCAGGACTTTTATATTTGTCAATAAAAAGAACCCGAAATGCTAAATTAGAGGATATTCTGGTAAATGTTGGTTTAAACCATTGCCTTTATATGAGAGCTACGACAAAACATGGGCTGATATATCCCATATACAATTCTAAATGCTTAGTAGCAATGTATGAACACAAAGTCAAAAATGTGTATTAAATATTGCGATTCCTAATCGACATTCTTGGAAATGCTAGATTTTTTCAACCTTCATTACCATTACATTTAATATTATGGTGTTACAACTTGAAATATCTTTCTTGAATATCTCATTCGTTGTAACGTCTATGTTTGGTATTTCAATATTTAATTTCCCATTGACAAATAAGACAAACACAGACGCTATTATCTTGAAACATAATCGATTATACAGTTTTATTTTATAGTATAATAATGTAAAAATTAAGTGGACTTGGCCAATTGTTTAAATATATTGTCGTATTTTTTTATTACAATGTGCACACTTTTAATTATAAAATTAATAATAAATGATTTTTAAGTATAGATTCGCAACAACCCTAACAACAGAACCCACCAAATACGATAAGGAAAGGGACAATGTCGATCGGGGCTAATTATATGATACCCTACACAGCTTCAAATATATGCAAGTAATGATCATAAAATTTATAAAATTTGAAACGCTTTTTATACGTTTCACAACACTCAGTTATTTGGTCCAAGGACGAACCCTATTGAAATTGGATAAAACCCGTTCAGATTTAGATATAGCTCCCAATGTTTGTCCGATTGAGGCAAATATTTTCACAACGTACTGATGAACAGATTAAAGTATGTTACATTTATAATCGGTTCAGAATTAGATACAGGTTCTACATATATGTTATTGCAATTTTATATAGAGGTTAGACACTAAAATCCCAAGGTTTGTCCGAAATTAGGAATACCTACCGTATTGCGTCTATAATAAAGTGTGTTTAAAATAAGTTAACATTTAGATTTGGTAATGCTGCACTTCAACCTCTGTATTTATAGGAAATTGAGCATAACCTATTAAATTACTTGTGTTAGCTTTTGTTGAAATCGATTTAAAATTAGATATAGCATTTTCGTCCGATTTCATCTAAATGGTACCCCATGTAACCACATATTTTTCGATAGCATAGTCATTTTGCTCAGAATGCGTTAGTTTATTTTTGAAAAAGTTATGCGGCATTTATTAACGTTGCTATTTTATTGGATTTAATTTTGGCCTTCCTTACGGACGAAAATCCAAAACACATACGTAATTCAGGTGGTTTGAAAATTAAGGTTCGTTTAATCCCACCGATTTTGCACAGATATGACAAGTACTTCAAGGATGTTCAAAATTGCTAAATTTATCGGTTTACTTCTATTCGATATTTTGGGGATTTTGGGTAAAAATTCACCTATTAAATCATATAACGATTCAACGATTTTGATGATTTCAGATATCTTTTTGGTATGAGTAAAGTCCTTGCTCAATCTGAGTGACTGTAGTTAGGTATTACATTTTCTCCTGTCATTTATTTATTTTCTGTAATGTAGTAAATAAACTGTTTGGCCTGGCTGGTGAACATTAATCGGTATGGTCCTATTCAGAACATCCTAAATTGCAAAAGCTAAATAATGTTACACTTATTGCATCTTATTAGCAGTAAAATAAGTTTCAATTTGTTTTACGTCTGTTAGTGAATTATTTTTATCACAACAATAACGTCTGAACTGAATTCACTTGTACTTTTGTTCGATTTTACAATTGAAAATAAAAAGTGAAAACTTATTTGATATTTATAACTGTTCGTTAGACTACATCATCTACCTAGGTGGCAGATGTCAGTTGTGTAATAATTTCTATGTTTACACAGAATTCTGTATAAAAGATGCAACACGATTCGTAGATAGGTACCAGTTGTTCAGCTCATAGCTTCACTATAGAACCAAACTTGGATATTTGAAAATCCGAAAACATAAAATGGCACGTCTCTCATTCAATCTTTTCGCTGGCCTCCTTATAGCTTCATTGGCCTTAGCCAAGGCAACCGATTATTGTTCAAAATCCTTGTGCAAGGAAGGAGTTAACCATATTGCCTGTGGACATGATGGGGTAAGTTGGAAACATTTTACGAAAACACACAATTTTATAACGTTTTATCCTTTTTCCAGAAATTATCTGACGCTTGTCCTTCCGATGCCCAGTTGGTCGAAATCGATGATAACCTTAAGAAAGTCTTGGTTAATGCCCACAATGCCAAACGTAATCTAATTGCTGGTGGTGAGCATGATGAGCATGATCCTGCCTGCCGCATGGCCACCATTCAATGGGATGATGAATTGGCTCTACTAGCTGCCCTTAATGTCCTCCAGTGTGATATGAAACATGACAGATGCCGCAATACTGACGCTTTCAAATATTCCGGTCAAAACATTGCCTGGTTGGGTTATCATGGTCAAGCTAACAATGCTGGACTTTTGGAAAAGGCTGTTGATTTCTGGTACAGTGAAGTGGCCGATAGTAAAATGGAATATATCAACAAGTATCCCAAGAACTACACTGGACCGTAAGTATTCCAAAGATAATTAGAATTTATGAGAAATTGTATGTCATTGATTTTCAGAGCAATTGGCCATTTCACCGTCATGGTAGCTGATCGCAATGTTCGTGTGGGCTGTGCCGCTACCACTTACTTCGTTGAAGATGAAGAATACAAGGCATATTTGGTAACCTGCAACTATGCCACAACCAACATGATTAATTTCCCAATTTATAAACGTTGTGATAAGGCAGCTGAGGATTGCACCACCGGCACCAATGACCAGTATCCAAATTTGTGTTCCACCTCTGAAGAGTACGCTGTCAATAAATGGTTCTAAAATTACAAATGGAATGTACCCAAATTTAATTTGAAATAAAAACGCGTAAATATCTTATGTATAACTACAAGTTTTAAATCACGCATAATAGAGGGTTTCTTAAATATCATAACGTGGATTTTTATACCAACCACATAAAGTTGCGTATATATTAAATTTGACATTCTGAAAATATATTCGCTAGAAACCCCATACATATTTTCTTGAAAAGAATAAACTTTTATGTCGATTTAAACAAATCATTGAAGATATCTATCATCCAAATATCTGGTCATCCAGAAGCCGAATTTCAACAGGTGTTATGGAGGACCATTGGCATGAAATCGGACGACATTAATTATGTGATCAATACAGATATATGAACCGATTTTAATCAATCCAGTCATACATTTCGCATATTTACGCCATTACGAAAAAATCATCTTTTCTCTACAAGGTACATGAAATATGGAAGTTTCATAGAGATGTGAAAAAACTCTTATTTTCTCCCTACTCATGAATTAAACTGTAATTCCATGTTAAATCATAAAATTTGGTATAAGTTAGAGCCAAGATGAATAAACCATATGTTTCTCAAATGGGTCACAATGCATGCGGAAACTGTATTTAAATCTGGACCAACTTTCGCTATTTTCTACAGAGTTAGCGCTAGGAACAATATTTTACATATGAACTTTTACGAGTTATAGTAAAATTTTAATACATTGTGCACAAATTCCGTCTCAATCTAAACAACGTTGGGCATTTGGTGCATAGCTTTTTTTTAATCGGACAAAAATATATATGGGATTTAGGTCAAAATTTGAAAAATTAACCATTTGCATAAAACCTTATGAAAATACATATTGGACTCAATTCAGCACGCTGTGCAAAAATTTATCTCAATCGAACAAAACTTGGTAGTTTGGTGCACCATATTCATAAAATCCGGCGAAACTATATATGGAAGCTATATATAATTCTGAACCGATTTTCACCAATTTCAATAGGGTTCGTCCTTGGGCTAAATAATTGACTGTGTAAATACTACCAGTACAATTTTACAGGGACAGAGGGACAGATGGACATGCATAAATCGATTCAGAAAGTGATTCTCGTGATCTCGACATAACACCATGACAATACCTTGTACAGCAGAATGTTAAAGGGTATAAAGGGTATTTATCCACTTTTATATAAATGATACATCAAAAACGCTAAGTCGGTCCGATTGACAAATATTTTTACCAAGAAAGCGGAACGATATTGAAAATTTTTCTAAAAGGATTTCATAAAAATTGTTAATGTCAATACATGACTAATTATATTAGGGCTAATTCCAAACCCAAGCATACCACGATGGTTAGCAGTAATATATAAACAAAATGTCAAAGTTCTGTATTAAATGTTGCGATTCCTAATCAGAATTCTCAGATCTCCTAGGTTTTTGGAAAAGTTTCGCATGTTTATTTATTTTTAAATTCTTAAGCGTATAGAATTTACTTCCCCCAATCTTTTTATACCCTTCGCCACACTGTGGTACAGGGTATTATGTCTTTGTGCATACGTTTGTAACAGGCAAAAGGAATCGAGATAGACACATGGTTCCTTTTGAGAATATGCATAGAATCACTTTTTAAGTCGATTTATGCATGTCCGGCTGTCCGTCCGTCATTCCATGTATTTTTGTTAACAAAGTACAGGTCGCATTTGTGACCCGATTTGAATGAAATTTGGCACAGTTCACTTATTTGGCCCAAGGATTTAGATATAGTTTCCATATATATTTTTGTCCGATTTCATGTAAATGGTGCACCAAAGTCCCTATATATCCTTCGATTTGCACGAAATTTGGAATAGCGTTCTGAATTAAGCCTAGAACGACGTGTGTTAAATTTCCTGAAAATCGGTTCAGATTTAGATATAGCTCCCATATATATTTTCGTCCGATTCAAGGTAAATAGTGCACCAAAGTCACTATATATCCTTCGATTTGCACGAAATTTGGCACAGAGTACTGAATTAAGTCTAGAACGATGGGTGTTAAATTTCGTGAAAATCGGTGCAGATTTAGATATAGCTCCCATATATATTTTCGTCCGATTTAAGGTAAATATTGCACCAAAGTCCCTATATATTATTCGATATCCACGAAATTTGGCATAGCATTCCGAATCAAGTCTAGAACGATGTGTGTTAAATTTCGTGAAAATCGGTTCAGATTTCGATATAGCTCCCATATATAATTTCCTCCGATTTTAGGTAAATAGTGCACCAAAGTCCTTCAATTTGCACGAAATTTGGCACAGCAAACTGAATTAAGTCTAGAACGATGTGTGTTAAATTTCGTGAAAATCGGTTCAGATTTAGATATAGCTCCATATATAATTTCCTCCGATTTTAGGTAAATAGTGCACCAAAGTCCCTATATATCCTTCGATTTGCACGAAATTTGGCACAGAGTACTGAATTAAGTCTAGAACGGTGTGTGTTAAATTTCGCGAATGAAATGTTTAATTTCATGTTAATGGTCCTTCAAAAATGCGACGTCTGTTAGGATCCCATCATATAGTGGGCTTTACAACTTTCCTTACTGGTTTTCCATTAAATTTATTGCTCTGGAAAACTTTTCTGCGAAAATACATTTGTCAAATATCCCATTCGTTGTAACGACTCTGTTTGATATTTAAGTATTTAATTTCCCATTTAAAAGTAAAATAAATATAGACGCTATTATTTAGAATCATAATGAATTAATATCCATTAATATCCATTATATTTATAATAGGATATTGTAAAAAAAAACTGGACTTGACAATTGTTTAAATATATAGTCGAATTTGTTATTACAATTTGGCACGTTTTATTACAACATTGTAATAGATGGAACCATCTGCCTAGCAACTAAACAAAAATCGTTAATATATAATATTTTCGAAAGGGAAGAATAATCATTAAGGAAAGTAGTAAAGTATGACCGACTATAAGATATCCTTTACCACTTTGGCTACATTCAAGATATGCATCCTAACAGCACTCGCAATTTTTGAAGGACCATTGACATTAAATTGGACTAAATTAAATATGTGATCTGTATTTATGTGTGAACCTACTCGGTCAATTTGTACCTTTTTAAACCCTCCACCATAGTGTGGAGGGTATATTAAATTTGTTTTTTTTTTTTTTTTTCGTTTATAACTCATTGAAATAATCATTTCCGACCCTTAAAGTATATATATTCTTGATCAGCGTAAAATTCTATGACGATATAAGCATCTCCGTCTGTCTTTTGTAATCACTCTAGCTATTCGGTACTTGGGGTTTCATGTGCATACTTTTCAACCAAATTCGCTGAAATTTAGTACAAGGGGTTTTTTTGTTTAATAGAGTCGTTTTTGTGCAATGGGAATAAATCATGTAAATCCATTTAAATCAAACTATTCATTGTGCTGCCGTACAGGACGCTGTTCAAAATTTAATCTGAAATGGACACCAGTTCATTATTTGGTGCACAATCAACATGAAGTCAGTCGAAAGTATATATAGAAGCAATATTTGCATCTTAACCAATTTTTACAAAACGCAATATTCTAAGCTTAATTGAATAACTTAACACATGTTAGACTATACTAACTTTAGAACGTTTGGTGCTCCAAAATCAGTCGAAAATATATTATGTTGGGGAAAAAGAAATCCATTATGAAAATGTCGATAAGTCTTGGCCAAACGGAATGAGATGAGACCCATTTATTAAACGGATGGCGATCGTGGTCAAAGAGCGGCGAAGCACCTCAAACGATGGCAAAACCAGGACTAACGGCCAGGAAAGTTCTGCTATGCATTTGGTGGTACTGGAAGGGGATTATTAATTATGAGTTGACTCCATATGGCCAAATGCGAAATTCTGATCTCTACTGTCAACAACTGGACCGTTTAAAGATAGTAATTGACAAGAAACGGCCAGAATTGGCCAACAAGAGAGATGCCGTGTTCCACAAGGACAACGCTAGGCCACACACATCTACAGAAACTTCGGGACCTTGGTTGAGAACTTTTAATGCATCCGCCTTACAGTCCGGACTTGGCACCGAGCAAATATCATTTTTTTTGCATTGCAAAATTTCTTTAATGATAAAAAATAGGTATCTAGGGAGGATTTTGAAAATCGACTACTATAGTTTTTTGCAAATAGAGAGCAGGACTTCTATGAGAGAGGCATTATTTGCAATAATTACGATATAGCTCTGCAATTTTACACAGATATGGCAAGTACTTCAAGGATGTTGGATATTGCAAATATATCGTTTTACTTTTATTCGATGTTTTGGGTAAAAATGCACCTATCAAAAATTATAGATATTGGTCAAGTTTTTAAAGTAGACCTCATATAACGATTTTCGTGATTTCAAATATCTTTTGATTTCAAATAACGAATTGTCTTATGTATGTAAGTATGTGCACTTTTATGAGTAAATGTAAGTCTGTTCGCAATATATATATATTTTTTTTCAAAATCCTTGTGCCTGTGGACATGATGGGGCAAGTTGAAATATTTTTACATAAACACAGAATTTTATAAAGTTTTATCCTTTATCTAGAAATTATCCGAGACTTGTCCTTCCGATGCCCAGTTGGTCGAAATAGATGACAACTTGAAAAAATCTTGGTCAATGCCCACAATGCCATGCGTAATGAGCATGATCCTGCCTGCCGCATGGCCATCATTCAATGGGATGATGAATTGGCCTTACTTGCTGCCCTTAATGTCCTGCAGTGTGATATGAAACATGACAGATGCCGCAATATTGATGCTTTCAAATATTCCGGTCAAAACATTGCATGGTTGGGTTATCATGGTGAAGCTAACAATGCTAGACTTTTAGAAAAGGCTGTTTATTTCTGGTACAGTGAGGTGGCCGACAGTAAAATGGAATATATCAACAAGTATCCCATGAACTATACTGGACTGTAAGTATTTAGGAATAAATATATGTTCGTTTTATGATACAATTTTGTTTCAT